TTATAAAAAATTGCAACGTCATGTTTATTATAAAAAATAACGGAAAAGTAATGAAAAAAATAATATTTCCAAACTCTGGACTATTTATAATACACTGAGAAAAAAATATACTAAATTTTAATAAATATTTGTTTGACTAGTACTTCACACATACTTACTATAAATAATAAACACTTACTAAATAAAAAAATGAATTAAATCAAATTAATAGTTTATGTACCAAATAAATATATGACATTTAGTTGATTTAGTAAATATTCAGCTAATACTATTCAATCAAATATTTATTACCTTTTTCTCTTAGTTATATAAATCTTGCTCATAAATCTTCAAGTTTTTTTGTAAATGTTTTTCTTAAAATTTTTTACGATGATTAAAAAGTCATATATAATAACTAGAAATTTACGAGTCACAGCTGTGCCCCGGGGAAAAATGTTTTATATATAATTATATATAAAATTATATAATTACATATAAAATAGTCCATATACATAGATAACATTTTTTCCCGGGACCTCATATGCTCACCGAACAGTGTCATTTCATTTTTAAAGAATCCAAAATTTTTTTGATGTTTTGGAAAAAAGTTTCTAAAAAAGGTTCTAAAGTCGCTTTACGAGAAAAGACATTTTATATTTTACAAAGTTCCAATACCATGAAGTTCTTAAGAACTATCACATTGTGAAAAATATGTATTATCTTATTTCCCACTCTTATTTCATCATTTCTATAAAGTTTTGAAATTGATAATGAAATATCACTTATTCTCTCTCTCATGCAAGTATTGAATATAAAAAAAGTCACACATATAAGCACGTGTTCCTTATATCTTCATTGCTAAAACTTAAATCACGAGATCATATGGTATACGTGATACGCGTAATAACTTTACTGGGAATTACAGATTACATAAGTAGTTATGAAAACGCACGGTCTGCAGGAACTAATCACTAAGATATAGTATGTTGTACTGTAAGTGTGCGTTATAGCCCATATGCAATTGGCATTTGCACACAAAAGCACTGCACGGAGAGAGCATAAGGGATCATTACGTACTCGGTAATAAATGCACCAGACAGCCTCTGATGCAAGAAAAGAATCAAATATTAAAAAAACAAGCTTCAAACCAAAGTTACTTCCATACTTCTGTGGAAGGGAATCCCTAAATATACGATATTATCAATATTATTGCTTTGCCATATTCTCAGAACAAAAGTTAAATTATTTCATTTCCGACATTCCAATACTATTACGGAGTTTTCAAATAAGGCTATTTATGAAAAATCAAAATCAGCTTAACTTCATTACACGAAAAAAATGACTTTGCTGAAATATTAAAAAATGTAGATGAATAAAATAATTTTGTTGAACCATTAAATAATTATGTAGGACGCTCAAATATAATGAGCAATGCTGCAAAAAGTTTTGATAATTTATATATACCTATGTCGTTGTTTGACTTTTTAGGAATCAGCATCTATAATTATTTTGATAATCCAACAAAATTCATTTCAGATTCGTATCTAGCTAAATTTTTACGATCGACTGCTACCAAAGATTGTTACATATTTTAACAAAAAAGTTTCTTTCATATAAAATACTTTTTTTATCTATGGGATAGCGAGAAAAATGTTTCGGGAGGGGCTGTAGAAATCAGTTTTTTTAAATGTTCTTTTTTATACTAGTGATACATTTGGTAAGCATAAACAAAAAAAGTTTCGTTTAAAACAAAATAAATTCAATAGCAAAAAAGTTATAATAATCAGACGTTTCGCTGACGCTGCATATAAATTGTTATAATTTTTTTACTATTTATTACATTTAAAAATCTAAAACTTTCCAAAAAACTTCTTCAAATATTCAACTACAATGTAGCATTAATGAAAATTTTTTATTCCAAAATTCGTAACACAATTTAACATTTGAAAAAGAATTCACTAAACTCGACAAAATATTATTAAAAATCCGCCATTTTGTTGTAAAGTGCTTCGAAAATTTTGGAATAGCTCTACAAGTAGAATAGCAGAATATATCAAAGACTATTGTGTAAAAATTTGAATAATAAATATTAATATCCGGCTGAGATTTCGCGAGTTGAAGTGCTGTCGTTCTCCCAACGCGACATTTTGCGGTTGTACTAACAGCAACATTTTTCTTCCGTGTAATTTATCGAATTTTTGTTTACGTGCCAAATACAAAGAAAAATCAACAAATATATTTTTAATACATAATAAA